TGAAGCCTTTCTTTATTCGTATAGTCGAGAGATGCTTCCAGTTCGATCTAGTATGCACCTTAGCTAGCACCATACATGATCTTTGTTCCTTCATAATCACTATTTGCTCTAAGTGAGGTGTAGGCATAAATTTTACTTGTTTGAAGAACGCCATACCTAACACAACCTTGAAGTCATCCATCATGACAATTGTAAAATCTAGCATCTCCTTCCATACGCCTATGCCAAGGCTTACCCCATGTGCTACACCACAAGTAGGTTTAGAAAAAGTATTCACCGTCTTCATGTAATTCAATGATTTGGTTACACCAAACTAAGTCTTTTAGCCTCATCCTTGGCCATGAAATTATATGTCACACCCTTGTCTAGCATGGCAAGTGCAACCTTGTCATGCACGTCCACATCCATGTACACAAGCCCATCTTTCAATGGTACCTTATGTGGTGGCTTACCATTCAAGGTATTAAGAAGCCGTAATGATCCTACATGCTTCTCATGCTCGAGAGCACATTCCTTCTCCTCTATCAAGACATTGAGGGCTTGTAGCTTTAGGCACTTTCTCATTGATGTGGCTCATTGTGAAAGTAACAACCATTGAGTTTGAATTCTCTCTTGTCATGCTCTTTGATAAAGACTTTAGACTTGTGTGCTTTGTGTTTCCCATCTCTATACTCCTTCTTCTCAAAGGCTCCCCTACCTTTTCCCTTAAAGTCTTTCTTAAGCTTGGAAGGTTCGACCTTCTTTTTATACTCAATAAAGGGCCACGGCTTTGGTGAAGGTCTTAAGCCATTGACCTTGCACCTCTTTTTGTGCCCATCATTGAAGTCCCTTAATAAAATCATACATATGATCATAGTCGGGTTTGCTACGTACCCGAAGTTTAAGAGAAATATATTCTCGAACATACTTATGAATAGTTCTTATATGCTTTAATGTTCGTAACTTATCCTACGCTTCCTAATCTGCTTCCTCGAGGTAGAATTGGGCATACATAGCTTATTTGAATTCATCCCAACTAGGCGACTCTCGATTCACTTTTTTAAGCTCTTGGTTCTTCATACGCCACCACCAAGCGAGCATCCTTCAAAAGGTAGAGAGTAGCGATCTTGATGCGATTTCTATCCTCGCTTAACCTTATTACCTCAAAAATTGCTCCACTCGCCCAAAGAAGTTTTGACTTCCTTAGCATCTCGCTTGCCAAGCATAACTCCTCAATCTTGGCACTTCAACTTTTGGTGTGTTCCTCGAAACCACATCATTAGAGATGGCTTTTCGACAATTTATTCAATCTCTTCTAAGTTGTTTAAGAGTTTGCTCATACTCGGTCATAAATTCTTGATGTTGCTTGAACATTTCCTTCATCCATTCAATGAAGTTATCCTTTTCTACAACGTTCTTTTTGGCACACCTCTCAATTGTTTCCACTCGAGCTTGGAGATTGGAGAGCACCTTACGTAGGCTTACTATGCCTAATGTCTCCCTCTCATCATCTCTATCTCATTGAGTCTCTTCTTGAAATTGTCAAGGTATTCCTCCGTCCTTATGAGTTTCTCCTTTAAGGAAACAAACACATCATGAGACTTCCTCCTTCCTTTCTTAGGTTGAGGAGGTAGAGTCTCCTTCCTAGTTTCCCCAACAACATCCTCAACACCGGAGCAAGATATGTTTACTCTTTTGAACACTTAGGTAGCGACGAAGCTTACTCACACTTGATAGAACTCGGCTTTGATACCACTCGTCACGGACTTGGCCTTTTCCAAGCTCTCATGTGGCACTTAGCTCAATTATTTTCTAAGCCAAACCAAGTCATCTTTCTCCCACATAAATTTGTCAAGCAAGAGAGACAACACAATAGAAATAAGAACTCTTTGTATTACTCTCTCTAAAGCTTACAAATCTAAGATACATTTTCTTAGATTTTTGGATGTCCGGATGTCGAGATGTCTTGGCCAAATGAAGGCCTCACCTTTTTATAGTCTTCCACCTCCTCAATGGATGGCTAGGATTTAATTGATCTAATGGTTACAATTGATTCTCTAGAATTATCCTATCTAGATATTTATAGAAAACTATCTAGATATTCTTTAGAACATATCTAGATATTTATAAGGAACTATCTAGATATGTACAAGCTAGAATGATGAAGGACTCTCTAGAATTCTTTAGGACATGTCTAGATTTTTTCTGGACATCCTAGAGACTTCTTCATTGCTCCATAATCTTGTAGAAGCTTTCGATTTATCTAACGTTTCTAATAACCTAAACAAAATCTCTTTTTTGAGCGGAGTGTAACAATATAGTGTCCTAAGTGGCAACCTTAGTGAGAAAGGTTAGGCGAATACTTAGAAATAAGAAATACTTTGATAAAAAATCAGCCTTAATAAGAAACATTGCAAAGTTGTTTTGTGGCTGAGAATCCTTGGACATGAGAGCCATCATGGTAACTAGTTGCAATTTGTTTATAGTATAAAGGGCCTCCATTGTGATAAGTCGCATTCAGCAATATATAAAAGGCCAACTAACAAAAGCCGCATATCCATAATTATATATAAAAATATTAAAAAAAAAACGAATTCCTTAAAATATTTTGATTAACTATTATATAATTGATATAACAATGATGTTATAATGTAATAATCAATAGATCTAATACCAATAATTAAATTCAACTCCACCTCAAATTAAGTAAAATATTGTAACTTTTTTTTAAAAAAATTAACTCTTAAACAATAGGTTATTTTGTATGAGGATAAATTATTTAAACATCATGTAGTTCGATGGCAAAAATATTTTGCGTCCTCATTTTTCATAAATTACACTTTACAATATACATATTAAATTTTTTTCAAAAAACACAAAGTATTTTAATTATGTTATCATTCTAAAAATAAATAAATAAATAAATAAATTATTACAAGTTTGGTATTATATTTTGATAATGACTAAAAATTATTGAAAATTATTAGGCTAGTGAGATAGGATAAATTATTGGATTATCCTCTATTGTGATCAGAGGTGAGGATTGGTTATTCGACTTATTCGATTTTGATAATTTGATTCTGTTATTAAATAACTAAACCTTTCAAAATTAAAAATTGAACCCAAACCGGATTGTTGGCACCAAAAAATGGGGTGTTTTTTTTCTTCGTAAAACTCAATTTTAATCCTTTTTTTTCCCCCCTTAACAAACAATTTTGTTATTATCATGGGTTTCTTTGATCTTTATGTTCACTTGTTATGTTATATAAAATTTGAGTCCATGAAAATAACATCACAGATCTTCAAAGTTAAGTTAAATAACATCAAAGTTCTAAACTGTAATAAAAATAAAATTAATGTAGCAACCAACCCCAAAACAAAAAGTAGTGAAACAAGTGAACTCAAGGCAAAAAATAAAAAGAAGTTGAATAATTCTGGGCAGCATAACGCAGCGACCGTTGAGGACGGCAATGGCAGTTGTGATTTATAGGTAGGAACGAGTTGGGTTATTTGTTTAAGAATATAGTAAGAATTTAATAAAAAAGATGAGACTTTGTTAAGAGTAACCGGAGAACTTTAAGATTTGAGTCGGAATTATAAGGGAAGAACTTATCAAAAACAAAAGGGTTAGTAGTTGCAGAGATTATTTTATTTTCATTTTTTATTTCTTTTCTTTGTTGCATTCCTCTATCGTTTTTTTGTTTTAAATTTATTTATCTACATTTGATTTTTGTATCAATCTGGTACTTCTATTAATTTTTAAACTAACGGTGTTAACTTTTGTTTTTTCTTAATCGTATCAATCTACTCTATTTTTTTAAATCTTAATCTTGCATATATATAATGTTTGAGTTTTGATTTTCGGTTTAAACCAAATAAAAAAATTTTAAAACCGAATCAAAATTAAAAATCAAAATAAATTCAGTTCAATTTTATAAAAATGAATTTGAGTTCAAAATCGCATCGAAATTGATATTTTGATTTATTTTAATTCTATCTTTCTGGTTTAAATCAAATACTGCTCACCTTTAATTGTGATAATTTGATTTTTCTTGAAAGTTTTGATTTTAAGCATTTGAGTTTTTTTTTTTTTTTACGTAAAATTTATATATTTTATAAGGTTTCTTTTTGGCTTTTGAAAATAAATTAAAAAGTTTTCTACCAAATTAAAATTAAAAATAAATAAAAATCATAAATTAAAAATTAAAAAAATTTAATTTTTTTGATTTTAGAAAATAAAGTAAGAAGTTTTTTCCTATGTAAAGAAAACAATTTGAAAACCATAAAAAATCAATTATTAAAAAAATAAATAAAATAGGCTAGAAAAAATTAAGAAACAATCCATCCTAAATAGAAAAAATTTACAAATTATTTTTACTCTTTTTTCTATTTTTTTTAAAATAAACTAAAAAAAATTGTCAACGTAGATAAAAAAAAAAAAGTTAAAATACTTATGTTATTATACAAAAAGTAGATTTAGTTTAGCAATTGTGTATCTAGTTAGATTTGATAACAAACTAAAATTTGAATATTATGGACTCTAAGATTTTTCAATAATTATATAATAAATTTTTTTTTATTTTATAGTTCAAACTCCATGTGCCTATGATAAATCAAAAACTTCTGCTCTTTAGTGAACCAAACCACATGCATTGACCAATTTGAAATCACATGCATTTATTTATTAAAAATCGACAACACTATAACTTTAGTGCCTCTAAACCTCGGTTTATTATTATTTTTGTTTTTTCTTTTTCCCTCTGTTTGTTCCTTACAGCATGCATTCCGTGATTGGTGGTGAAGAGAGTGGCGCGTGCTCTCTTCTCTCTCTTTCTCTCTCCCAATAAGGCCAAAAGTAAAAGCTGTAGTAAAATGCTCCCATCTACCTCAGTCCCTTTAGTCCTCTCCTCTTTCCCCATTCACAACACTCCTTAGCTCATGCTTGCTCACTTTGGAGCTGAAAAGCACCGCACCGCCCCACCATCCTCCTTCCTCTCTCCGGTACAAGATCAATTAGCAGAATGGCAATGCCAAAGGCACCGCTGTTCTTTATTCTAATTTCCTTCTCTTCTCTCATACATCCCTCCCAATCCAGGCTCTCCTACGACTACTACTCCAAATCCTGTCCAAACTTCAACAAAATCATTCAAGAAACAGTAACCAGCAAGCAAATCACCAGCCCTACCACCGCATCTGGCTCTCTCCGCCTCTTCTTCCACGACTGCCTACTCAATGGCTGCGATGCCTCCATCCTCATCTCCTCCACTTCTTTCAACTCAGCCGAGCGCGATGCTGACATCAACCTTTCCTTACCCGGCGACGCATTCGACCTCGTCACTCGCGCCAAGACCTCCCTCGAGCTCTCCTGCCCCAACACCGTCTCCTGCGCTGACATCCTCGCCGCCGCCACCCGTGATCTAGTCACCATGGTGGGCGGCCCATACTACAATGTCCTTCTCGGGCGCAAAGATTACCGCATCAGCAAATCTTCATATGTTGAAGGAAATCTGCCAAGACCCACCATGCCTATGTCTGAAATTATCGGTATGTTTGCTGCTAAAGGTTTCAGTGTCCAAGAAATGGTGGCACTGAGCGGTGCTCATACCATTGGTTTCTCTCACTGCAAGGAGTTCAAGAGCTTTTTATACAACGACACGCATTATAATCAGAGATTTGCCCAGGCGTTGCAAAATGCTTGTGCGGATTATCCGAAGAACCCAACTCTGTCAGTGTTCAATGATATAATGACACCAAATAAGTTTGATAATGTGTATTTTGATAATTTGGGCAAGGGGTTGGGGCTATTAGAGTCAGATCATGGGTTGTATGGTAACCCAAAGACAAGGCCTTTCGTGGAGATTTATGCTAAGGATCAGAACAAATTCTTTCAGGATTTTGCAAGAGCCATGGAAAAGCTTAGTGTTTATGGGATCAAGACTGGAAGGAGAGGCGAGATCAGGCGCAGGTGTGATGCTATTAATTAACTAACTCCTCTCTTTTCCAAATTTTTAATTATTGATTGTGATTTCAGAGGATGCAAGGTGTTTTGTATTTCCAATTATAATTCTTTACTTTTTTTTTTTTTTAAATTCCGAGGGTCTGATAATATATGTATACAAGTGTTTGCAGCAATTAGAGTATGATAATTGATATGATATCAAAGCGTAATTATACTTGCGTAGTTTTATTGGTGGATTGCTCAAAAGTTTCAGTCTCTCTAAAAATTGTTAATACTAGCTTGTGGTTTTGGTTCTGCTTCATATTGTACTCCAACAGGGAAGTGTCTGAAATCTGAGAGTGGTTAGGGTTGTTGCCAGCTATAATTCCTACAGTAGTTAAATTAATTTGAGCAGTGTTGATGGATGGTGTATTTAAGTTTTGTCCAAATAAAAAGTGATCCATAAAAAGCTCCATTTTTAAACCCAGATTCTAAAAACCCAGAATAGCCTCCCCCTCTCGTCCTCGTCCTCGCAGCTTCTTGGTTGCCAAATTCTAAAATCCACTCTCAACGTGTTCTTTCTTATTTTCCTTTCTTTCTGTCTCCTTTCAATAATCTTCAGATCAAGGCTTGCTTGTCTCTAGGTTGTGTAGTTTGGTAATAATCTTAGACCAAGGTTTATTGGATTGGTATGAAATTCGGTGTCTTGTTCCACAGATTCTTCGCACACCCGAAATAAACCGGATTTGATGGCTTTTTTTGGGTTCTTTTGTGTGTTTGAACTTTTATCAGAGGATGTTAACGGTAGTTGGAATTGGTTTGGGATATCAAAGAATGGGGGCTGGTAGTGCAGGGGGAGATGGCATTGCTTCAAAGATTTTTTTGAAGGGAAACCTCAATTTAGTCCCAAATCTACATACCGTATGCAACAGGTTTATCCACACCTATATTTCGGAGCCATTAAACTCCACCTAATAGAAGGTCTTCCAGTCGCCAACAGAATTGCCCTACTGGACGGTCAATTTTTGTAATGCCAACATGTCTGCATAGCTATGGTGAAAACGACCCTGAATGCTGGACGCTTTGCAAGTCCAAATCCTGATAGCAGGTGTAACACCTCCGACTTACAACCTAAAATAGTTCCATAATATTATGAATAATATCTTACATTAATAGTTCCATCATATTATAGTTCCATATATTCATATCTTACATTTAAAGTGCAAAGAATACGAGATACTAAGTCTGTCTAAAATAATTAATATTTGTTGTGGAAGTTCATTTAATTTAAAATTTAGGTCCATCTTAATTTAAAGCATATTATAAATACAAGTTCATTTCCTTAATCTTTTCAAAATAATTAACTAGAAATTCTTTTTATTAATATAAAAAATTACTACATCAATTCCATATCAAATAGAAATCAATTTAGTTTTCACCAAATATGGAGGACTGAATCCATTTCATTACATATAACATAGAATTAATTAGATTTCATTTGATAATATTATAACAATTATTCATTCATTAAGCATATTTGTATAAAATCTAAATCCATTACCTTTCAAAATACTCATTTAATAGGAATATTAAATATAACTTAGAAATTCAGTTCATGTTCTTACCTCAATTATTTACTGGAAATCATTTCATTAAAACATTCAAACACATTTGTACATATACTCATGAAAACGTGTTTATATAAAACATATTTATGTAAAACATTTCAACTATCTAAAAATCATTTTGGTCCAATCGATTTCACTTAAGACTTGTTTGATAATTTATTTAAGTAGTTTAAAAAATTAAGTTGTAGTACTTAATATAAAAAATTTGTTTGATAATTTAAATAATCTTATATTTAAAATTTAAATTCAACCAAAATCTATTTAATTAGGTAAGTTAAAATTTTTAACTTATTACTTTTTTATTAACGCGATCAGTTAAAAAATTTTTAATTTTTTTTAAATATAATTATATAACCCTCATATATTTTTATAACTTTAATTATACAAACCAATTAAAAAAGATATCTACTATCATATTGCCAAAACAGAAGAAATCCATTTGGTTTTGATACAAAAGTAGTATTTTAAGACCCCGTTTGAAGATAAAGAAAACCCAGTAACGGTTTTAGGTTTCATAACAAAAAGCCTATGCTTTAAGCCCTGTAAAGGATACAAATATGGTGGCTAAAGGATTTAGGTTTCATGACAAAAAGCCTATGCTTTAAGCCCTGTAAAGGATACAAATATGGTGGTTAAAGGAGATTGCTTTGCTCAGAGAGAAGAGTAGTGAATTGATATAAATATGGTTTTACTTTAATATCTAAGTAAGTGTTACTTTAATAGAAAATTGTTTTACTTTTGAAACAAAGCTGGCCCTCCAGGTTTTAATAAAAAAATACAGCTATTTATTATGGGGTTCTTTTTTATTAATGAAAAACGCAAATTTTCTATTTTCCTAAATTATACATACCAAAGATATACACACCAAATATATATATATATATATATATATATATATATATATATATATATATATATATATATATATATATGAAATGATGTGTTTATAAATATTATCATCCTATTTATTTATTTTTTAATATTTTTGAATTTAAGAAATAGTCTCATAAACATTATGCACACGTGTCATGGAAGTTTAAAAAGTAATAAAACCCTTAATGTAAATACTTTTAATATTATCTTACACCGTGTTTAATTTTTTTATTAATAATCATTTTTTGTAATATTTATTTATTTATTTATACACATAAACATATCTATGTATATATTTTTATTTCTATTAAAAAATATCATATTACAATTACAAGATTAAAATTATCATGTATATAGCCTTAATATGTTTATGAACAAGTACTTATCAAATAACCTTATTATATTTAGCACTTAATTTTCAGTTTTATCAAACACAACCTTAATATAATTTCAGAAAATTATACTAAACATAAAATAATCAATTTAATCTTCATTAATTAATAAACCATCTTAAACATGAACACCATTACATAAATAATCATTTCATTAACTTATAAATTTCTAACATTATTTTACAACCTTCAATGTAATTGAAACTTATGAATTAAGTCCAATTAAATACTTTGATTGAAATTGTTATTTAAGCTCATTGGAATCGAATCCTTGTGTTAAGCCCTTTGAAGAGTTTTTTCTTAAAAGAAAGTACTTCTAAATCTTATTTACTAAAACAAGGTAGTTTTAATCTTATTTATCAAAACAAGGTAGTTTTTGCCACGTAGATCAAATCACCTACATGTGTCATTTTTTTAATGCTAAATTCACTAATAATTTTATAAAATTTTAGAAACAAATATTATTTATTATACATCCATTTCATTATTTATGATTACCGGATAAAATCAAATACTAGTAGACCCAATTCCACCGAGCTCATCAACAAGATTTAGAAACAATGGCTCTAATAAAATTAAAATAAACAAACCCTTAAGAACCAATAACTCTATAGTAATCTTTCTCTATAAAAATTAAAATGACTAAACAATCAAAGAAATGGAGTCGAAGGGTTAAGAAACCAAAATCCAAAACCCATAAATTACAATATGCTTATTAATCGAGTGGGCCATTCAATCCAATGACAATTTTGTTCGAGTGCATGAAGCATCCCATATGCTCTATAGATGTAATTGTCAATGTTGATGAGCCAATAACATGGCAATCATCGTTACCGGACATGTGGTACTAAGTTGGGGCCTTGTGGATTCCTAGTACTTCTTAACCCTCAATAAGGAAAATCATATTTTGGCGAACAATAATTTTGTTTTAGGTTTTGGTAAGTTTTGGGATTTTGGGTGTGAGTTTGTTAGTTTTAGTTCTATTTTTCTTTTGATGATCTTGGTATTGAGCCATTTCAATTTTTACTAAAAGAAATTGTTAATAGAGTTACTAGTTCTTTAAAGTTTATTTATTTTAACTTTACTAGAACAATTGCTTTTAGATCTTGTTGATGAACCGATGAGATTGGGTCTACTAATATTTAATTTTATTTGGTAATTATAACTAATAATATAGATGTATTAAAATTTTGTAAAATTATTAGTGAATTTGTATTAAAAAAAAAAAACTAACACTTGTAGGTGATTTGATCCATATGACAAAAACTACCTTATTTTGATAAATAAGATTAGAACTACATTGTTGTAGTAAATAAGATTTAAAAGTACCCTCTCTCTCTCTCTCTCTCTTTTTTTTTTTTAAAAAAAACTCCCCTTTGAAAGCTAAAATAGGTTTTGCAAGTTATTAAAACATCTAAATCATTTATTCATTAATCCAATTAAATTAATTAAGTTCCATTAAAAACATTTAACCATTAAATCATTTCATATGTTCATGCTTAGAACCAATTAATTAACTTCTTATATATATTAAACCATTGCATTAATTTGAAACATGAAATTCATTTACTTACTATCAAACACACTCATTTATTATTTATTAAGGTTGTCCAATAAGTTTCCTCAATTTACATGCCAAATTAGCTAAACTTAGAACACCCAAACATGTCTATAAAAATGAAAGAAAAGAGAGGTTCGGGTCTTCAACACCAACCCTATATTCTAAGTACACTTTTCGGCAATTTGGGCATCTCATGGGAATTGTTTTAACTTCAAAACATGTCATCATCTATCACCTTGTTTACATACACCATAAGATGAAATGGTGAGCTTAATGCTCAATAAGTGAAGTTCATACATGAAATGCAATTAAAAACCTTTCCTTTTGTGTCTTTGAAATTTATTTTCCTCTTTGGTTGCCGAATGTGTATATATTCGATCATCTTTTAAAACATGCAATTGTGAAAAACACAAAAGCACTAGGCACATTTTGTTTTTATTTTTGTTTTTCTTTTTCCTTTTCTTTTTCCTCACAAGAGGTTGATCACTCCTCTTGCAAACCTTTTGAAAATGTGCCTCGCCATTCCTTTTTGAAACCATGTCCTTTTCCTTTCTTTTCTTTAAAACCATGAAGAAAACTTTTTCTTGCTCAT